GGCTTTGATTACTGCTTCAAAACCACACAGATCCAGGGAATTCTGGTCTTTGATTAACAGAAGGGGGAGGAAATACCCAAGGGCAGTCATCCCTGCACCGACATGGGAATTGTTCCTGAAGAAATGTTTCTCACAGGCAGATGCTCCCTCCGACCATCTGAGGCATCTGTTTACCCACCTACCTATTTGGCCTCCCACCAATCCTGACGAAATAGCCAAGCTAATAGCTCAGCTGAAACCGGACAAAGCCCCAGGGCCCGACCTGATCCCTGCTGAAGCCATCAAACTACACCCAAAATGGTGGGCTGGCATCTTGGCCAAAACCCTCGATGCAATCAACGCTTCCGGTCTCATCCCCAAAATATGGAAGGAGGCCATTATAGTACCAATTCATAAGAAAGGTTCTCCAATGGAGCCGGAAAACTACCGTAACATCAGCCTCCTTTCGATCATAGGGAAAATTTATGCCAGCTTTTTGCTGACTAAACTATTGCGATGGGTAGATGAGACTAACCAGATTGGCCACGAACAAGCAGGGTTCAGAATTAAACGTTCTACAACCGATCATGCGATAGTTCTTTATCATCTGGCACGGAAGTACTCCTCCCCTCCCCGGGGCTACCTCTGTGCTGCCTTCTTAGATCTAAAGGCAGCCTTTGACAGCGTTCCTAGAAATATTCTTTGGGAGAAACTTGCGAAACAGGGCATTGATAGAAGACTCTTATGGCTTATAAGTCAGCTCCACGAAGGTACCCTTGCCAGAGTGAGACTTACTCCTGCGGGCGACCTCACAAATTCGATACCAATAAACAAGGGAGTGCGCCAAGGATGTATATTGGCTCCCTGCCTATTCAACCTATTCATCAGCGACATGTGAGCACCCCTAGTTAACTCATCTCCAAGTACACACGCGCCTAGACTAGCGGATTACCGCTGCCCACTCCTTTTATATGCGGACGACGCGGTACTTCTATCTTATACACGCGTTGGACTAACCAGAGCTCTGAAGATCTTTGCCACGTATTGTCAACTCAACCAATTAACCATCAACCATGTTAAATCCAAGATTCTGATTTTCTCCAGAAGCCGGAGATTATACGATTGGAAGCTTGGTGGAGGAAAAATAGAGCAAGTCCTAAAATTTCAATACCTTGGAGTTATTTTTCAATACAATTTGGGGTGGAAAGCTCAAATTCAACACCTACTTAACAAGGCCAAAACTCTGTCATATGCGCTCCTCCGATTTTTCTTTTCGGATGGAGCTTTGCATGTTCCCTCGGCCCTAAAGGTGTTCAAGGCAAAAGTGGTTGCTGTGCTTGCTTATGCTGCCCCGCTCTGGGCCGTGATGACAGATCTTGCTCCCCTTGAGACTCTGCAAAACCAATTCCTACGTCGGCTCCTAATGCTCCCCCTGTGCGTAAGCAACGCAGCCATGCGACTAGAATTGAAGATCGCATCCTTAGAAACTTGCCTGTGGAAGCAAGTCTTCAACTATTGGTTATCATTGTGGCATAGATTACCAAACCATTACCTTGTCCAATGCTTATGGCGAGATGAATTCTCTAGCCTTTGGACTAGTAGAATTCATGCCAAACTCCTGAGTTATGGAATCTCTCCCTCAGATTCCCTAAAACTAGACCAAATCACTGCTCAAAGACTGATCCGCCAAAGACTGGATGACATCGACTTACAGCGAAATTATATGCTGGGGGGAGGTGTTTGTTCGCCTCAGAACATTGGTATCACTTTAACTTACTGCGTTCCATCATACCTCTCCTCCCTTTCGACTGTTGCCCATAGACTGGCCTTCACCAAAGTGAGGTTTAACATTTTTCCCTCCAATGTCCTGAGACATAGATTCTCAAAGGGCCAAGCGAATGTGATAAGGAGACGCCGGAGTCGCTCCAGCACATTATGTTCACTTGCCCCTTGTTCAATGTGCCACGGGCAAATTTGTTGGGATCAATCATACAGAAACTAGAGAGTACCCCACCAAAATTACACCTTGCCCAAATCTTGCAGGATAAGGATACCCACACGACCCTGAAAGTGGCTAGGTTCCTGGTCGCTGTCCTTACCCAAAAGCGACGCCAAGGAGCACCCCAAGCTAATTAAGGCGTAGTATGCCATTCCATCTTATAGCATTTTATTGTTATAGTGGTGTTTTAGCGGCTGTTTTTTCCCACGTGCACAAGCTGTTATTTATGTGTTGTTTTTACTTGTATGGGCCTATGGCCATAATAAAATTTTATTTATTTATTTATAGTATATAGAAAACCCCTTTAAGGGGGAAAATAAAATAGAATTATATATGTATTCTCTTTAAAGAGAAAAAGGAAAGGGAAAGGGGGGGAAAGGGAAAAAGATAACAATAGCAATCACAATAATGTAGAAAAAAGTTTTGTTTTGTTTTTGTTGTTTTAAAAAAGGAGGTTGACAATAAAGGGCAGGCAGGAGGAGGAAGGACACCCCACAAAAAAGGACTCTTTTAAAAATTTTATTCTATTTTATTTTCCCACTATTTAATTTAAAAAATGGGGGGGGGGGGAGTCAGGGCTGAAGTGGCGGTCCCAGGAAGTGGCCTCTGTTGGTTCAGGGCTCCTTTATGGGCACACCATTTTAATTCTTAAGAGTTAGAAAAATGGAGGTAAAAAAATTGAGGGGGAAAATGAATTAAAAATATATTAAGGAAATTAAGGAAAAGGATTTTTTAAAAAAATGATTTGGATCCTGTTTCCATTTCCAGCTGCCAGTGGCACCCCTCTGTCAGCAGGAGAGGGCCAACGCAGTGCCCGTCTTCTCCCGGGATGATTCCCTTAGTGTGGCTCCCCTATGGGTCCCTGCCCACTTCCCTCGCTCCAGTCACTAGAGAGGTTGGATCTGGTTTGGACTGGGCTGCGCACTTCTATGCGGTCTCCCTGACTCTCCCAGTCCCATCCTACCTCTCTTTCTTGATTACTACTGTCAGATGGCAGTGGTGGTTGCTCATGAGTAACCAGGCAGGACTACGACCTGTCTTTAACAGGTTTTATTTTGGTGCAAAACTATTTACAGTACAGAACCATCAGTTCATGTCTGCCTCAATTGCTAGCAGAATCTGGGAGTGGTCGTTTCCTGGTCCTCCCCCAACATAAGAGCTTAGTCACCCCCAGCCTTCTCCTTCCTCCTTTGCGTTTTATGCCTCTGCGCAAGGTGGGTGACGGAAGAGGCGTGCTTCCCTCCTGACCGGCTTGGCAAGGATCGGTGCCGAGGCTTCCAGCAGCATCCCTCTAGCCCTTTTCCCTCCTTTACCCGGGAGGTGGGGCTTTCCCCAGCCTCCGACTGACGAGGTGCAGTGCTGGGACTCCCAACAGCAACCTCTGTTCCCTTCCCTCTTCCCCACTGGAGGTGTGGCTTTCCCCACCGCAGGAAGAGGAACTGCTTCGCAAGATTTTCAGAGGTTCCCTGTAGCCCAACGGCCCCTTTGCCTCCCTTCCCTGTTTCGATGGCAGGCCCCTGACAGCTACAATGGCGGTTGCCGTGACGGTGGAAGCTGGCAAGTGTAATGTGAAGCATAATTATAAGAATATTTTCAGTGCCTGTTTTTAAAAACAAAAAAATAAAGACAGCATGCCAGGCTGAAAACGGGGTTCTATTGTGTGTTAAACTGTTATTAACAAAGAAGTAAATCAAGACATTTCTTATTGAATGAAACAATGAAGTGTTGATTCCCTTGCTCTACACCACACACTAATGTGGCACCAGGTTGTAATTTCAGAATAGGAACAGGAAATAATACAAGCTATTGTGTTTTGCCACTTAAACTAAGGCCAGGCTGCCATTTTGTGCTATTAAGTGTCTTTGTACAAAATAGATATAGGCCTTGGACATGTCAATACTCCAATTCCTAAACATTTCTTAAGTATATTAAGAGACAGGAACAAGGCAGGGAATAGCAGTTGTGCTGATATACAATTAAAAAATAAAAGTATTGCTAAAGAAGCATAAGGAGATTGTGGTGAGGTTGAATTCTTTGCATCTGACTTCACTGTAGAAGACTGAAATTACATATTGAAACATACATGTTGACCTCCTTTCACTTCCATAGATGGTTGCCTTAATAATTTCCACTATTTGCATGCAGTTCCATAATATTGAAGTTCTCTGGGTGACTTAAAATAAATACTACAAATCAGGGTAAATATAAAATGCAACCTAAAATTATCAAATGAGAAATTTTAAAGGACCGATGTTTGTATTGTTTTTTTAGATATGTTGTAAGCCGCCCAGAGTGGCTAGGGAAACCCAGTCAGATAGGTGGGGTATAAATAGATAAAACAATAACAATAATACCAATAATAATAATATCAAAACTAAGCAAATACCACAAATACAAGAGTTCACAACAGTCCCAAGATTAAAATCAAAGATTTTAAAAATGAGAGCTCTGGAATACTAAAGTTGCTTAGAAGACCTGGGTAAATAAAAAGGGTAAGACCCGGTTTCAGAAGGACCACAAAGATGGTGCCAGGTGAGTCTTCCTGGGAAGATAGCTTTATAACCTCAGTGCTACCACAAGAAAGGATGAGGGTGTGTTCCTGTGGTATCCACATAGGATCTTAAGGTTTGGTTTGGTAAATACAGCAAAAGATGGTCTTTCTGATAACCTGGTCCCAAAGCATTTAGGGCCCTGAAGGTTAAAGCCAGCACTTCAAATTGTGCTGGGAAATGCACTGGGAAATTGTGCCGGGAAGTGCAGCTGTCAAATCTTAATATGGTCAGACTTCTGAGTCTTCTTGACTGTGAGCTGGTTCACACATAAAGCTGTGCCAATCCCAATATTTATATTGCAAATATTTGGGCTCTTGGAGAAGAGATGGTGTCAGTTTTGCTCCTCTGGTCTGCATTTTTGTTGTAAGCCATTACATGCCAACCAGCTCAGTATTTTATGGACTACAAGAAAATACATATGTAGTGACTTTGGCTTACCTGATTCATTTTTTTAAAATATTATGTTCCAGGTGAAGATAGCATATGTGAACTTTGTCAATCATTGCTATGTAGACACTGAGGTCGAAATGAAGGAAATCTACACCAGTAACCACATCTGGAAACTATTTGAAAACTTTCTTGTTGATATGGCAAGGGTAAGTTTTATGAATCATTAAATATTGATTAATATTGAATCGTTAATAATCTTTATTAAAGGCAGTGGGCTGGAGCTTTATGTTTCTGTTTTAAGTTAAATTTATGTTTATTTTTTCACGAGTCACTGGAACGAGGGACCTACAATGTGGGGTGCCAGATGGGGTGCCTTTTCTTCCTTTTGAATTATCCCTTGTTTTGTTGTCTTCTTTTTAACATTTTCCTTTTTTTTAGAAAAAGCAGAATAGGAAGCGAAGCACATGTGTTCATGATAACTGAAAATTTGCTTATAATGTAAAAAGGTGACTCATGTTAGTGATCCGAACCTTGGGAAATATAGCTTTATTGTTCCATGTTTGGTATCACCTACTGTATAAGGAGGGGTGGTGGCTTTTTGCTTTTGCTTTACATTGAATAAAAATGGGGGTATGTGATGGATGGGAGCTGCTGTTTTCACACATTCTTCATGCAGTTCCTCTGTCTGCTCTAGGTTTGTAACACAACCACGGACAGAAAACATGCAGATGCATCTCTGGAGAAGTATGTCACAGAATCAGTAATGAGCATAGTGAGTGGTTTCTTCAGTTCTCCATTTTCAGACAACAGCACAAGCCTCCAGGTAAAGACTTAGAATCATAGAATTTTCCAGACCCTTGATCCCTTGGTTGCCCTCCTCTGCATATGCTCCAGCTTGTCAACACCAGCTTGTCTTAAATTGTGGTGCCCAGAATTGGACATAGTATTCCAGGTGTGGTCTGACCAAGGCAGAATAGAGTTGTGCTATGACTTCCCTTGATCTGAACACTATGCTTCTGTTGATGCAGCCTAGAATAGCATTGTTTCTTTTTGCTGCTGCATCACACTGTTGACTCACGTTAAGCTTGTTGTTCACCAAGACCCCTAGATCCTTTTCAAATGTACTGCTAGTAAGCCATGTGTCCCCCATCCTATATTTGTGCATTTGCTTCTTCCTGCCTAAGTGCAGAACCGTATGTTTGTCACTATTGAAATTCATTTTGTTAGCTTGTGCCCAGTTCTCCAATCTGTTAAGGTCATTTTGAATTCTGATTCTGTCTTCTGTGGCATTAGGTACCCCTTCCAGTTTGGTGTCATCTGCAAATTTGAAATATGTGATACATGTTTATTTCAGACTACTATTCCATGGTGTCAGGAAACTGACATCGGAGCAGAGTGGAGAGGCTAGGCTCCCCAACGATGCCGGAGAGGGAACCAGTACAGAGAGGGCTTCCGCTGGGGAAGAAAGGCAAGGTGACACCAGGAAGAAAGAAGGGATTGAGAGCTCTTCGGAGGGGAGGCTCCGAGACTCTTCTAGTGAAGTCAGTGAGGAGAGTGGAGGACCACCGATAGGCACGCCCACTCTGCGCAGAAGGCTGCCGCGCAGAGAGGCGAGAAGGAGGCTGTCCGTTAAGGATTTTTTATGTTGGAGGAAGTTTAGGAAACGCCCACTGACGGATTCTGCCAGCGACTGAAGCAGTCGTGCCCAAGGGGGGCTGCTCAGCCGGGGAAAACCCAACCGCCTCACGCAGTTTGGAGCAGGTGGAAGTTACACACAAGCAACCCCAATTCCCATGATACATGGTCTCACATGTGACAGGAAGTTAGCAATCTGTGCATCCACAGGAACGTTTATTTCATTGGTGACACTATTTGCTTGTCCCCACCCCTATGTAAACAGGAAGAACTCTATAAAACAATTTCATTTCATTTTATTTCATTTTCATTTATTATCTTTCTGTGCCGCTTTTCAGTCACACAAATCACAAAGTGGCTCACAAATAATAAATAACAGTAATATAACAGAACTTCACAATTACGGCATAAATCTTATAGAATATTTAGCAATCATTGGTAAAACAACCACTTTCTACAAAATACGATTAACAAAACAACTAAAAAAAAGGTAAACATCACAACCACAACAAAAAAGTCATATTCACAGCACTCATAACCCACAAAACAACATTAACAAACTAATAACCAAAAATAAACACTGCTGAATTCTCTCATTCATATTCTCTCTCTCTCTCTCTCTCTCTCTCTCTCTCTCTCTCACACACACACACACACACACACACACACAGAGAGAGAGAGAGAGAGAGACCGAGAGAGAGACATAATCCCTAGCTCTGTACTCTATGAAAAATTCAACTTACATAATTTTTTTTCCATAAAAACATTTCCACCCTGCCTTTCAGCCCCCAAAAGTATATATTTGATGGAGGGTTTGAAAGCCAGAATCCACAGATCTCTTTGCCTAGGACAGCCTTCCACCCTCCGCTGCCTGATGTTCTTCAACTACAACTTCCATCATTGAGCAGGCTGCCTAGGAATGATGGGGGTTATAGTCCAACATCTGAGGAAATCTGGCCTAGATTATATTAGTTGACACAGCATAGATTAAGATGAAGGCTTGCCTAAATTCAGCTGCTAAATCATACAGCAATACTCACTGCTGAGGTACAGTGTTCTCCCTGGACAAGATGGAAGCAATTTCAGACATTTCAACAGGTGACCCCTCTTTATTTTTGCTATTAAAGCAAGGAAGTGAAGCAGACTAAAACCCAGGAAAATGTCCTATGATGGGTCAGCGTATTTGCTCATCTAGCCCAGCATTTTCCACTCTGACTGGCTGCAGCTTTCCAGGATCTTGAAGATGTGTAACATTACCTGCCTCCTGATCTTAAGATGTGAGGGATGAACCTGGGACCATCTGCAGGCAAAGCATGTGATCTAATACTGATCTACAACACCAGCTAGAAGCCAAACCTGGATATATTATCATTTCCTTTTTTCAGCTTTCCTGCCCTTAGGTCAAAAGCATCCTGGCCCCGAGTGCTAGAGCGATTGACATGGCTAGACTGGAGTGAGTGTCTTCACATATGCCAGACCCCATAGAGGTTATACTCTTGCTACCCAAATCCCTCATTCAGATTTCCCTTAGGCCAGCGGAGCCACCTTGAGGCAGGTGGTAGAACCACTGGCTCTGTCTCACTTTCCCTCTCATGCACCACTCTAGAAGAGTGCTTGGTGCAATAATACATGTTGTTGTTGTTGTTTAGTCGTTTAGTCGTGTCCGACTCTTCGTGACCCCATGGACCAGAGCACGCCAGGCACCTCTGTCCTCCACTACTTCCCGCAGTTTGGTCAGACTCGAAAACACTATCCAACCATCTCGTCCTCTGTCGCCCCCTTCTCCTTGTGCCCTCCATCTTTCCCATCATCAGTGTCTTCTCCAGGGAGTCTTCTCTTCTCATGAGGTGGCCAAAGTACTGGAGCCTCAGCTTCACGATCTGTCCTTCCAGTGAGCACTCAGGGCTGATTTCCTTAAGAATGGATGCGTTTGATCTTCTTGCAGTCCATGGGACTCTCAAGAGTCTTCTCCAGCAATAATACATGGAGTATGTGAAATCAGTAGCAGTGCACATGTGTTTGTATTAGGCTAGAACACATAGCAGTTTTTATTTATTGTATAAATATCTTAGATCATAATATCTAAACATGTTTGAGCTGATAACATATTTTTTGTGTTCTTTCAGACACACCAGCCTGTTTTTATCCAGTTACTGCAGTCTGCGTTTAGAATTTACAACTGTACCTGGCCAAACCCAGTGCAGAAATCTTCAGTAGAGTCCTGTATCAAAACTTTAGCTGAAGTCGGTAGGTCATTATACTCCTTGCTTTCACTGTTTCTGTTTTAAGTGACTTTGGATGGAATACCTGTTACTTCTAGGAAAGTAAAATCCTGCAAATTGCTAGTGCAGGAAACCTTTGTGCAATCTCCTTTGAAATGAGCAGAAGTTGAATTAAAGGACGGTCACTAGTGGAATGTGCACACTAATCTATACAGCATTTTGCTTGCAGTGGGGAAGCCTCACCACAAATAAAACATGAGTGGCTAGAGAGAGCTTCGGGTGTGGCCTCTTTCTTGCCCTATAGAATTGCTGCAGGACACTTGAGCAGAAGAATCTTACCCTGATTGCTGCTGGTTCCCTGGCAAGCAAGGGCAACACTTACTCTAACACTGAACTGACTTGACCTGGTGTTTCATCAGGCTGGCCTGGATGCCCTCAGTCTGGACTGCCTTGGTCCCTTCTATCCTCCTTTCAAATTCATAGCAGCTGATGAGTCACGGGAGGAGAAGGCAATGACTCAAGATTATTGGCATATCAGAATTGTGGCTTATCAGACTTTCCTTAGAGTCAGAATTATGTATCAGAATTGTGGCATATCAGACTAGGACCTGAGTTCAGCCATGAAGCCCACTGGGTGACCTTGGGCCTAACCTACCTCACAGGACTGTTGTGATTATCAAACAGAAAGGGGGAGCGGTGTGTATGCCACCCTGAGGTCCTTGGAGGAAAGTTGCTATATAAATGTAATAATAAATAAATAAGAGTAACCAGCTGCCCCCTACAAATTACTTGCCGCTCATTACATCCACTTTTACTAGGAAATAAATTACATACAATTTGATTGGGGGAGGAGGTGTTGCTGTTCAGTAAGTGCATATATGATTTATTAGTTGGATTGATTTCCATTTTTTGACCAAATCATTTTTATTGATTTTCCAAATTTTACCAAATCAGCCACAAATTAAGACAAATTTGATACAATTTTTCCCAAAATTAGTTTCCCATACTCCATTCATGATGTGTCCGAATTTTCCTCTTGTTGCTGTTTATTTTCCTAGTTGTTTCTCGTTCACATTCCTTACAATTAACCTTATATTACGGTAGGCTTTTTTAAAAAAACAACAACCTTGTTTATCCTTAACCATCAGCTTGCCAATTCCTGCATGTACAATATTCTAACATTTGCAATATCTACAAGTGAGGTTGCTCCACAAATTATCAAATCCACAATAAGTCAGTAATTATCATTTCTAAAATAAACTATGTATGAAAACCCAATAGTTCACTTTTACTAGGTGTTTTTCCTTTTCTTCTTATATGCACAGTGCATTCTGTCCAGACCTCTTAAATGTCCAATCCAAGTATCTCCTCTGTTGTTGTCCATTCTAAAATAGGAAATTGCAAGGATGACCTTGGAATTTTCCCATGGCGCCTTAACAGTGAGCCCATAATAGTAGGAGAAGGCAGACTGTCTTTCCTAGAAAATTTGTAACAGTTCAATCTTTAGTTGCCCTCCCCTTAAGCCAAGCAGACCCAAGCTGATGACTTTCCATTGAAATTTCTCAATTTGCCTCTAAGAGTACACCGGTTATTGCTGGCCATTTCCCATCAGGTTCTCATCAACATTTTCTGACACTCCAAACTTTAATTAATGTCCCTAATTGTTTAATTATTTAAAATTCTTTCAGTCTCATTCGTCAAGTTCTTTCAGTTTCATCAAGCTGAGGAGGTAATAGGTAAAACTCCTTAAAAAAAGCACCTCATCACATCTTCCCCTTCCTTCCATTGTTTTGACAGCATCAGACAGCATCACTCCACCTCACACTGCCTGGAGTTTTACCTGCACACACTTCCAATTTTCCACTAATAAACCTCACTTGTGATCCTTTTATTTCTTTAATCCAGAGGGGGTAAGAAGTAAGCCCTTGAAAGCTTTAAGCAACAATAATAATAGCATTAATAATAAAAGAAGATCTACTCCTCTCTTCTCTCCATTTTGAATTACAGCAGGAATCATAACTCAAATCTCATACCTCAACTTCAATAGCCTGATTATGCCATTAATTTTAATCCAGTGTTCAAAATTTTGAAGGAGCTCTGCCACTTGCTGTGGCGGACTTTGGAGGCTGTCTCTGTGATGGAGAGTTTGAGACCCAGCGTCTCCTCCCCTCCTGGTTCTTGGGTGGTAGGAGTGGGCACAAAGACGACATTTGGCCAAAAGTGCTGTTGGTTCACTCATAACACTAACCCATAATTAACATTAAGCTTAGTAAATGTTAACCTTAGTTAAGGCTGAGGCATCTGGCAGACGATCTCTTAAACTAGGATTAGGGGTTTTTTTGCTCTCCAGATGTTGCTGAACTATAGCTCCCATCAGTCCCAGGAAGCATGGCTCAATAGCCAGGGATTTGGTTCGCATCGGTCTGTCTTGACAGACGGATGGAGTGTGCATCTGGGGGTGAAGTCAAATAATAATATCTGGGCGGCCACTCTGGGCGTCTTCCATAGAAACCAAAAATACACTAAAATATCACAGATTAAAAACTTCCCTGAACAGGGCTGCCTTAAGATGTCTTCTGAATGTCAGGTAGTTATTTATCGCTTTGACATCTGATGGGAGGGCGTTCCACGGGGCGGGCGCCACTACCGAGAAGGCCCTCTGCCTGGTTCCCTGTAGCAATGAGGGAACCGCCAGAAGGCCCTCGGCGCTGGACCTCAGCGTCCGGGCAGAACGATGGGGGTGGAGACGCTCCTTCAGGTATACTGGGCCGAGGCCGTTTAGGGCTTTAAAGGTCAACACCAGCACTTTGAATTGTGCTCGTTTGTACTGGGAGCCAGTACAAGACCGCTGTTATGTGGTCTCGGCGGCCACCCCCAGTCACCAGTCTAGCTGCCGCATTCTGGATTAGTTGTAGTTTCCGAGTCACCTTCAAAGGTAGCCCCATGTAGAGCGCATTGCAGTAGTCCAAGCGGGAGATAACTAGAGCATGCACCACTCTGGCGAGACAGTCCACGGGCAGGTAGGGTCTCAGCCAGCGTACCAGGTGGAGTTGGTAGACAGCTGCTCTGGATACAGAATTGACCTGCGCCTCCATGGACAGCTGTGAGTCTAAAATGACTCCCAGGCTGCACACCTGATCCTTCAGGGGGACAGTTACCCTATTCAGGACCAGGGAGTCCTCCACACCAGCCCGCCCCCTGTCCCCCCAAAACAGTACTTCTGTCTTGTCAGGATTCAACTTCAATCCATTAGCCACCATCCATCCTCCAACCACCTCCAGGCACTCACACAGGACCTTCACCGCCTTCACTGGTTCTGATTTGAAAGAGAGGTAGAGCTGGGTATCATCTGCATATTGATGGACACCCAGTCCAAACCCCCTGATGATCTCTCCCAGCGGCTTCATATAGATGTTAAAAAGCATGGTGGAGAGGACGGAACCCTGAGGCACCCCACAAGTGAGGGCCCAGGGGTCTGAACACTCATCCCCCCAACCACTTTCTGAACACGGCCCAGGAGGAAGGAGCGAAACCACTGTATGACAGTGCCCCCAGCTCCCAGCCCCTCTAGACGGACCAGAAGGATGTTATGGTCGATTGTATCAAAGGCCGCTGAGAGATCCATCAGAACTAGGAAACAACTCTCACCTTTGTCCCTAGTCCGCCGGAGATCATCAAACAGCACGACCAAGGCAGTTTCAGTCCCATGATGAGGTCTGAATCCCGATTGGAAGGGATCCAAATGGTCCGCATCCTCCAGGCGTGCCTGGAGTTTTTCAGCAACCATGCGCTCAATCACCTTGCCCAAGAATGGAAGATTTGAGACTGGGCGATAGTTGGCCATACTGGCTGGGTCTAAAGATGGTTTTTTAAGAAGCGGTTTAATGACCGCCTCTTTCAGCGGATCTGGGAATGTTCCCTCACAGAGAGAAGCATTCACCACCCCGCAGAGCCCATCACCCAGCCCTTCCCGGCTTGCTTTTATTAGCCAGGATGGGCAAGGATCAAGGAGACAGGTGGTTGGTTTCACGCGTCCAAGCAGCCTGTCCACATCCTCGGGGGTAACGGATTGGAATTGATCCCACGCAACTTGACCAGACAGAGCTCTAGCACTCTCCTGCCCCAGCCCTGCTCCCACGGTGGTGTCTAGCTTCCTTCCGAATATGAGTGATTTTATCTGCAAAAAACTTTGCAAAATCGTTGCAGGAGATCTTGGGGTCTTTACAAGGCCCCGGTGGTAAAGGTGGTTCCGTTAAATTGCGAACCACCTGAAAGAGTCTCCTGCTACTATTTTCTGCAGATGCAATAGAGGCGGTGAAGAAAGTCTTCTTCGCTGTCGCTATCGCCACTTGGTAGGCTCGACGTTGAGCTCTAAGCTGTGTCCGGTCAGATTCGGAGTGAGTTTTCTGCCACCGACGCTCTAGCCGTCTCAGCGATTGTTTCATCGCCCTCAGCTCTGAAGAAAACCACGGGGCTGTCCGGGCTCCATGCAATCAGAGAGGGCGCTTCGGAGCCAGACAGTCAATAGCCCTAGTTAACTCCGCATTCCAGCGGACCACCAGGGAATCAGCTGAAAGGCCATCAACATGGGATAAAGCATCCCCTACCACTCTCTGGAAACCATTTGGATCCATTAAGTGGCTGGGGCGGACCATCCGAATTGGTCCCACCTCCCTGCAGAGGGGAAGGGTTGCGGAGAAGTCCAGTTGCACCAGGAAGTGATCTGACCATGGCACTTCCTTTGTTTCACTTTTACTTAGTGGCAGATCACCCACGTCACTAGAGGTTAACACCAGGTCTAAGGCATGTCCATGACTATGAGTTGGGCCAAACTTATTCAGGGAGAGCCCCATGGAGGCCATGCTTTCCACGAAGTCCCGAGCAGCCCCTTGTAAGGTCGTGTCGGCATGGATGTTAAAATCCCCTACGACAACCAAACTAGGTGTCTCCAGGAGAAAATCCGCCACGACCTGAAGCAGCTCGGACAGGGAATCCTTGGTGCAGCGGGGAGGTCGGTACACCAAA